CTGAGTTAGTTTGTGCATAGTTGAGCTGAGTTAAAATGAGTTGAGACGAAATGAGTTGATTTGAGTTGAGGTTAGCTGAGCTAAGTTGAGCTGAGTTTATATGCATTGATGTGAGTTAAGATAAGTTGACCTGATCTGGGCTGATTTGAGCTGAATTGAGTTGAGACGATTTGAGTTAAGTTGTGATGAGCTGAGCAGAGGTGAGCTGAGTTGAGATGAGTTAAGATTAGTTGAGTTGAGCGGAACTGTTCTTAGTTGAGCTGAGTTGAACTAAGCGGAGTTGAGTTTATAAAAGATGAGCTTAGATGAGTTGCGATGATTTGGGCTTTGTGGAGATAAGTTGAGTTGAGATGAGTTTGTTTTAAGTTTATCCTTATAATTTTTTAGCAATTATTGCTGATTTTAGCCAAAATATTATCATTTTTAGTTAAACTAGCCAAGTACATCCCTTCACCAGCATATTTATTGGGCAATCCAGCCCTTGAAATTGTCCTGTCTACCATATTTGAGCATTTCAGAGAATTTATATTCATCTTCGTCCCCTTGACACACACCTACTTTTTGAAAACATTATCTAAGTTATACATTTACTCTATTTCTTTAAGATGCTATATGAATAAGCCTCACTTTTCCATTGAATTCATTTTTTCTTGCTTCCCATGAGGTATTTTAATCCAGGAAATAAGCCTCACTACTTAGGTTCGAGTTCTGCTGGAGGTACTAATGAGACCTATTCAAACTCCAAACTGCAAATTAATTCTGTCTGGATGAGAGTGCATTTTGACACAGTTTGAGAGGATTCACATTGTTACTTTCCATCTTTATAGTTAACAATAGGCCTATACCTTCTGATCTCTTTTGAAGGCAACCAAAAGGAGATTGGCGCGTCCTTGGCCTATGCTTTTGGCTCCGCAGCCCTTTCCTCGTCCGACCAACTGACCTCTCCGCCAAGTCTGTCGGCCACCACAACCGGCAGCCTCGGTTACGCATCATTACAGCCGCATTCTCCAGAATCCCGGCCCGGCTCTCCGCTCTGTTTATCGAGGCTGGCGACCTCCTCGCCGCGCCTCCTCGTCTCGCCGAACAGTCGACACCGACCATCGCTGTCGGATCAACTCGGCGTCGAGAAGGCATGTGAAGAGGCGCAGGTGAGTCCTGTCAGTTGCGAGGTCACAGTCTTCTGCAATCAAGATTGTCAAAACATGCGTCTAATCTGACGACATTCGACTGGAATGCAATTAGCGCGGCTGAAGAGCACTTGATTCACCCTCTTGCGTGATGGCATAATGTAGGATTGATACCCAAAGTTAACGGATTCCTGAAAGCCTTGTTGATCTCCTCCTCCATTTATTACATTGGCCAAACAACCTCTTTCAGTCACGACTAAGTTGAGCTTTTCTACCGGAGCAGGTGAACCTCAGCTTTTCTCCGATGGGACACCAAATTGGCCAGTATCCGACACTCTGCAGGGCAAATCTATCTCGTCAGAAACTATTCTACCTCAAATTCGATGGAATCTTTCATCGAAATAGCACATTTTAGCAAAAAAATTATCGAATATTTCAATTGATTTCTAACACTCTGAGCACATCTCTATGTACATACTGGGTCATTTTTGGATGTATTGATAGTTCTTTTGCATTACTACTTCTCGCAATGGACACAGAATTGACGACCTGACAAAACACCAGCCATGCCTCACCATGCCTGAACATCGCACAAAAATCAGTACATTCCCACTTTTGACGTTTTTTTCAAATGAATCTTCCAAATGAACCCTTCTTCTTCTTCTAATTTGACAAAACGGTTTGGACCCCCAAGAAGCATTCTCAAATTTGCTTCCCATTCCAACCGCAAGAACATTATTTAACCACGAGTGAACTACATCAGGTCACTTTGTTTGAGTCGGAAGACTTTTCAAGTGACATAACTTGTCCTAATCTTGCGTCTCCGACCCATTTTCAAGAGGCACTGGATCGGGCCAATCGAGTCCGGCTGCCAACATGACATGCCTGCCCACCTACGCTCAACTGCATGTGGCCAGTGAGCCGATAACACCAGATCCTCCAATGCACAATCGCATTCCAACGAATAGGGTTTTGTAACCCGGTACTGTTGCTTGTGAATTCAACGCTATCCGTGACAATGTGCGTTCGTGTCCGTCTCTAATATACGCCTAATTGCATGTCTGAATGTTTGCGTCTCTGTTGCCGTGACTTCCGTGTTCTTTCACTCGATTTGGCTATAATGGTCACTGTTATGTGCATTAGCATAAGACGAGATGCACATTCGAGCTCAGATACATTGGAAATGACCATGTCTGCTTACAAGAGGCTTTCTCTTTCGGCTTTCCGCATTTGGCTTAATCATTCTTATCAGAAGTCCGTGATCCGTGCATGCCTGTAGCTGGAGGTGAATTTGCAAATTTGCCATTTTTCCATTTGATAGATGCTACAAAATGTAGAGGTCGAATAACGTGAACTGTGGGCTGGAGTGGATGAGGCTGGCAATAGAGGACGTGATATTGTAAGGCTCTACGGCAGATAACGGATTCAGTGGCTGGCTGCCAGGGGCAGATAAAACATGGAGGAGGGGGAGGGCTGAATTTCTGTGTAATTAAGACAGCTTGGACCTAAACCTCGAATCGGGCTGGGAACGGAAAGGAGACAGAGTCCCGGTGCATTGTTGTAATGGCTCGCGGAAGGAAGATACAAGAGTCGTCGGATAAACACGAGCTTATCTCCGTGGCCAACAGCAACTGTGTGATTCACACCTCTCATGGTCCACTTACTAATTGGGACGGTAAAGTGACGGTGGGATGATGCGAGTAAGAGCGGATGAAGCGTAACATGCCGACAGCCCGACAGCATAATCGTATCCGCGTGTCTAACGTATAAGTGTGTCGAAAAGGAGAGTCTTCGGACGAGATACAGAGGCTCGTGGATTGATCTTCCATTGCTGCTTTCATCCCATCAGCATTGACTCAAACTTAGACTATCAATTTCTTCATCGTCAAGGCTGACTAAAGCCGTCCGAGGATGGGAGAAGTATGTTCTTCGAGTTCACTATGACAATTCGGCTAAGTCACAAGAACGAGGCCGGATTAATGACATACATACACCATCTTGGCCTTCATACCTTTCACGCTTTTGAGCTATGGTGTCTGCTGAAACTAGCCCATTTCTTTAGCAAAAGTTCTGATCACTAGCTCGTATTTTCCCAAATTGCAATGAGTATGCCTCTCTTTTCAATAGAATTTGACATATCCTTGCTTTCCCAAAGGCTGGACTGCAGTTTCGAACTCACCTGGGCTGGTAGCAATAGCATCCTAACTGGGAATCAAACTCAGCTAATTCAACATATGCTCTCGACTTGTTACCACCACACCGCACTACCCCGAGTACTCCTGAGCCAGAATATACCAACTTTTACTCGACAAGATTAGCTGCAAAACTATCTGTAATCTTTTGATAAGAATCAAGGGCATATATTCGCCTGGGGGCTCTTATAATTCCAAAATGTTAACCGTTTATGTTATTTCTTTGGAAATCCTTATGTATTTTTAGTTACTTTTTTTTATTATTTTAAATATTTTTTTTTGTGATAGGATTGTAACTAAGGCCTTTAGTTGGACTAGAATTGAGATGTTGAATATGCTTTTTATACTTGGCTGGTCGTTTTATTTTGATTTTAGATTTTTTTAATTGTGCTAATCATGCGCGATTTCAGAGGTAAGTTGGGATTGAACATAAAAGGGTGGTTGAAGTTCTTTTTTGAGATGTACCAATAGACTCAAAATGTTCTGATATTTTCGGTAATATTAACAAATGCAAGTTTATCCCATCTAAAATCCGGCCACGGATATGGTTTAAGAAATAGCTTGCAAGTCCCATGTACTCCCTCACTCAGCGGCATCCGTGACTGGGGCAGATGGCTAACCTGTCGCTACGATGAGAACGACTGAATGTCGAGTCCCGTTTGGTAGCTTGAGGGACACATGCGCGGCCTAAACTTCAGTTTAGTCTTAATTAGGAAACATTTTGGGAGGCAAGCTCGGGTGAAATTCACCGGCGTCGGAAGGTCTACTTATTATGTTTTTGGGACTCTCACTATCCTAAACGACCAAGTTGAGCTCACTTCCATCTCTATTGAAAACAGCTGATCAAGAGATTCGAACACCGGTCAATGGAGGATTCCACTTGGTCTGACTAAAACTTTCTGGTTGACGTTGTACCCGAAGCCGAAATCAGAGAAGATTGCTTCGGGGACAATGTCGAACAGAATTTTCTAGTAAGGCCAACTGATAGCTGGTCAAAAAAAGTCCGCCATCGTCTTCTGACCTGTGCGGCATCTGAATCTCTTCATTACACAATTTCAATCGAAATGAAATTGAGCTTAACAATTATAGACTATGAGAGTCCTCGAAAACCAGCATTTG